TATATGATTATCTAAAGATTAAAGGTAATCAACCACTATCCAGTCGGATATCAAAAAAGTGCCAGATAATACCGGATACCGAACTTTTCGGATATCCGGTGCATCCCTAATTTTTAGTATGTAGATCAAAATAAAAACAAAAAAATTGCTCGTTTTGTTTTCTCGTTATTTTTAATTATCGAGAGTCTATAAATTGGTATTATTTTTGTTAAAGACAAGAAAGTTTGTACATTTTATTCATTAGTAAATAAATCAATCAATCAATCAAATTCATATTAAATAATTTAATGAATAATTTAATATTTCATTCCACTTCCCTTTTGTCTTAAAACTTCCGCAATTTTTCTTTTTAAGAACTCTACTAATTTTTTGCAAGTGGATTCCATAATCCCTATTCTTCCATAATCGCAATTTGTGTCTTGCTTCGAAGTGTATTTTTAATTACAAAAACGTTTATCTTTAACCTTCCAGCGGGCGCGCGCGTGTACTCCGTGTGAGTTTCGGCTTCCAAGTATATTCCTTCAGTGTCTTTCGATTTCCGTCGTTCAGTGTTTTACAGGGAGCGATATCAATAGTATCAGCGCTATCGTGTCATTCTATTTTTATCATTCATTAGACGTAAAACAAGAATAGGATATATAAAGCGTGTTCCGAATTACACATAAAGCGTTTGATGTATCATTTATCCTTGTTCATTGAATACTAAAAAAAGATAAAATGATACATTATGTCACGGACGAGATACAATTAAAGATCGTCAATCCTGGACAAATTTTCCATACAAGAAGGGTCTCGAAGGCCTAGAAGTAATTGAAGAACGCTGATATTATCGACAATATGATTGATATAAATTGATATAAATTTGCGATTATTACCATAAATATTTGGATAATATATCATTAAATTGTTGATTTTTTTATTATATAAATAAGAGTATGCATACTCATAATACTGTAATATCTTATATATTGCTGCAAAATTATGATTTTTTTTCTCTACAGTTATCATCTCTATTGATAATTAAATTCAGACAATAACATTAAAATCATAATTATTATTACAGTAGTTTAATTGCGTTTATAAGTCCGGAAAACCAGTTCAAATGACTACAAATATGGTATATATGCATGTACATACATATATAGTATATATAATTCACATTGTAGTATTTAAGCATTAAAGATCCAACTTCGAACAATATAGGCATTTAATTTCTAGTTCGTATTATATATAGTTATGTTCTCATAATTATTATCACTATTTTTCCCATTACAGTTCCTTTTCCTTTGTGTTCCCTTTTTTTCTTTTTTCAGCTTTATTCAGCTTTTTTTTTAAACATTGTCCTAGAATCCGATTAGATATCCGAAAAATATCGGATAGCAGACTCGAAAAATTGCCTTCTCGAATATCCGATCGGATACTTTCTTTTCGGATATTCGAAATAATTTCACGATCCGATGCATCCCTATTAAGAATTATGAAATTTATAAGGCCTAATAATTTTGGCTATATTTCCTGTATCTATGAAGATGACTACAACAGAATTTTTCTCAGTTCGCTAAGCGATTCGACATTATTGACATTACCTGAGTTCTCAGCACAAAATCTACGTGGCACCAACGATATTCCAGAAATGTATGTTCACATGACCGCGCAATCGACGCGTTTTTATTTATTTCTCCCTACCCTTCGCTTCCTTTTCACAGAGACTGCTTTTTAATTAGGTGACCGATAATCGCCGATGTCTCATAACGTCTGATATGGCTAATTACACATGCCAACGGCGTATTTGAGGTATATTTCACAGCCGGGCGCCTTTGGAACATCATCATTTTTAATTTTTTTTTTTTTAATCTGCTGACATTCTATAGATAAAAATATAAGACACACGTATTTCACGAAAAAAAATTTTTTATTTTTTTGTGAAATTATTCACGCTTGTAAGTTGCAGAAATTCATAAAAAATATCGCTTATGCCAACATTCAAATTATTGTGATCAAAAGCATTAGTTATACAAAAAAAATGCAAGAGACTAATTTTAAAGATCTTAAATTGTTCTATGGATGAGTTGTTTTTAATTTAATATTTTCCTATAAATAAATCATTTTCCATTTGTTTACAATTTTTATTAACATTTTTTTCGTCATCAACTCACCAATTAAAAAATTTTGTAAAAATATTATTATATTCCAACTTCATTTATGAAGTAACCCTGAAAATTTCAAAATGAAATCCGAATGTATAGTTAAATAATTCTTCAAGTGTTAAGATTGTAACAGCAAGTCAATAAATGCTAATGTTTTAATTTATAAACAAATATGCCAACGTTTTGACCAATACATTCAAGTCATTTTCAATGTTAGAGGAAAGTCGCCGATACTGACATAGGTTTCCTAAAGTGACTTCCCCTTATTTCTCAGAAACTAATACTATTACACTGTATTAATACTAATAAAATTACGAACTGTTAATTAAAGAAGTGCAAACTCATAATTCGTGTATTTTTGGCTTATCTCTGTACTAAATCAGTTAAAAACGAATTCTACGAAAATAAAATTCTTACGATTTTTTTTTTTTGCAAATTGCATAGTTCAAATAATAATGACTATATTACGTCATTTTAAATGCTTGTAATTTCCTAAATCAGTTTTATTTATGTTATTTTTTTCTCTTAGTTTTTTCATAATATAATTTTAAAATTGGGGTGCAGTATAAACCGCCACACCTATCTGTAAAACAGATCATGAGCTAACTTAATGTTACTTTATAATAAAAAAAAATAGTTCTATTGGAGTTGAAAACAATTGTGCATATATGGAAAAACTCTTGAAAAACTATCGCGTTAAGACATTTTTAATTTCTGTCAAGAGGAGGCCGGATTTCAATTGATGACTAATTGCGAGAAAAACATAACATAGGTTTTATTGTATGAATATTATATATCCGAATGTAATTTAGAATTAAGTAGTTTAATACGTAGGTTTAGAAACGTTTCTTTTTAGCTGTTCTATTAGGTAGTGAAATTGAAAATCACTTGAATGTATTAGTCGAAATGTATGTTGGCATATTTGTTTATAAATTAAAACATTAGCATATATTAACTTGCTGTTGCGCTCTTAATCTTTGACGTTTTATTATTTGTTTTTATACAATTGAGCGATAACTATTTGATTAATTTAAAATAATTCTGTCGTGACGGTGCGGTTCCGTATACGTATGCATAGATCTACATGCTATTGATAAAATAACAATACTGTACGGAATTGTACTTGAAGAATAATTACAATATATAAGATTAAATAAAACAATATATGCAAAAGAAGGGCAAAGAGCCAGTAATGTAGTAACAAACTTTAATTAAAATTTAATCATAAAATTCATATAATTACAAAATAACAAACAAACGTTTCGATTAATAAAAACGCAGTTTGTTCGATATCGTGGAAGTTAGATATTCGTTACTCTTGCAAATTTGCTTCAAATTAAAAAAAAATCCATTGTGCGATATGGATTACCATCTACCTGCGTTTTCTCTCTTTTTTATTAATGGACTCTCAACACTTTTACCGACATTGACAAGAATATTGTTTTTCTGACTACTTTGAATTCTGATATAACTTACTCGCAAGGCACTACACAATATGAAGAATGTAATAGATATTTTTATAGCGATGTTTGAATATTATCGCAACATTGAAAATGGCTCAAGCGGAGTCGAAACATTTGTTTGTCGTTTTGTAATTATATGAATTTTAATTAAAGTTTGTTACTACATTACTGGCTCTTTGCCCTTCTTTTACATATATTGTTTTATACTTACAGAGCCTCATTATTTATTAATTAAATAAAGTATGTTTATAATTGTGGATTAATATTATTTGTATGTGCATTTTTCTCTATAAACTTGGGTATCCTGAACTTTTTGATTACATATACTGCACATTAATTGACATTTCTTTGTTATTATAATGACAGCTTGGATGCATCGCCAAATTATTATAAACGTGATAATTTTAAAAACATATACGGTGAATGTTAAATACAGAACGATACAGTTGTGAAAATAAATTATTATTTTATACTTTTTATAGTGCACAAATAAATTTTTTAAGGGCTTCACATATATTCTATTTATTCAAGTTTTTCGAGTAGTACAATATCCAAAAACTATTATATACATACGTCTTTATTGTCGTATCTACATGGGAATAGCTTCAAAATCCAAGGTTATGCAAGTTCCATAATTCTACTTACTCATCAATTTATTCTATAACTCTGTTTCACTTGGTTGAAATTTTAATGAGAGTATTTTTGACTTTGAAACAAACACTTAATTCTTCTAATTGTTTCAAAGTGAAATTTACGTACAGTAACAAAAATATTGCACTTCCGCGGCACTTGATTCTGTAGCTGTATTTAGCTGGGAGTACAATAAACTCGCACTCTCAGCAATCTCATGCAGTGTTGCTGCCACTGAACGAGTTTTTAGTGCGCCTAGTGAAACGCTGTAAAATTGAAAGCTTATAGTGTGTATTCGATTGTGTGTATCTAGTATGAAATTAAGATACCTATACCTTTAACTTCAAATATTTTTTGTATTACACGATACACAATTTTACAAAGAAAATTTTATCTTAAATTTTGATATGAATATATCAATTATTTATCGATGACATGAATATGAAATGTGGATTGTAGAACTCGTTACAAGAAAAAGATCTTATAAATTAGAGCTTTTCTTGTAAGAATCGTTCATATATTTTCTAAATTTTTTGTTAATAGAATTTTACTTTTAAGAATAAAAATTGAGCCAGCCTTGAGAAAGAGTGGCCCAATTTTCAATCTCGGAGAGTAAGATTTCACTCTTCAAAGTGAGATTCATGCTAAAAGTTCTAAAGAGTACACTTATGTCGGTATACAATATTATAGAAATTACGATGAAATCTTTCGACTCCAAGAACTCGGGCAAATAAAGAAAGAGACGCATTTCCTTTCGCAGCTTCATGCAGCCGCGCTCTCCTCCCTGCGATCCGAGGTGGCCGAGCTGAACTCGCGGCTGGTGGCGGCTACTCGCGCGCGGGAAACCGCCGAAACCGCGCTGATGCGGGCGGAGGTCCAGGCGGGCCGCGCCGAGCAACGAGCGGAACAGCAGGCGGTACGACACGAGGAACGGCTCACCGAGTTGCACTCCGTCATCGCCGAGCTCGGCAGACAGCTGGAGCGGCATCGCGCTACCGTAATTGCCGAGGAGGACGAGTCCGGTAAGAGTCCGTCCCGCGCTCCACCCTGCTCCGATTATACGACGCACGCGGGAGAATATCGCGATTTCGCTCAACGAAGAACGAGAGTCTCGGCGAATCTTCGAGTAACGAAAGCCACGGCGATTCCCCGGCGGGCAATCAGCGGATCTCCCTAGACTCCGACTATAACAATAGTAATAGCTCTCGATTCCTGCTGTTGATCCCTCTTCTCGATACCGAGAAGGAGAGCAGTCTCTTAGGGACTCACGGCGCACATACCGTAGCATCACTACGTGTACTATCGCGAAAGACAGTCGCTTATTCGATAAATAACCGGGATTGATGGAATAGATCGTTTCTCCGAACCATATAATTGTCAGGCGAAGTACCAAGTAAGTATTAATCGTCGGTGGTCGCGGTCTGAAGAGATGATCTTGATGCGCAGAAGTCGAGACGAGCAGGGACGCCGAGGGTTCCATCACCAACCCAGTAGAGGAGAGTGAGGGCGGCGGGGACATCCAGGGAGATGGGGATCGCACCTTGGGGGATGCCGACTCTAGCTGCTGCGAGGACGAGAATCGACCGACAGAAGTAAAGAAAATTCGAAAAGAACACTTTTAAAATTCTAATTTTGAACGCGGAGGAGAAAATAGGTCTGTTCGGGTTGCATGAAATCCCCAAATATTTTTGCACTTAAAATGAGATAGATATATATTTGGCTTTAAAAAGAGAGAAAGCGAGGGTGCCGAGTGCAAAACGTGCGAGCAACGTGAACAGATTCTATGATAGTGTGGTTAATATTATGATAGTGTGGGTAGTACAATGGCCCCTTTTTTTTTAATCTTCGCTAGGTGGCGAATTCTTGACTAATGAAGTAAAAGATACATTTTAGCATTTAATTACATATACTTCCTGATTCTTCTTAAACTTAAACGTATTATCACACGAATAAACATTATGTATATATATTTGAGTGTGTTGCTTGTTTAACATTTTATTTGACTGCATACATCTCGAGTTATGCAAATATTAATAGCCTGGTTTGTTAATTTTGCTAATATGGCCTCTCAAATCGATTGCTGACGGCCTTTATTTCGAACCTTGTTTTCGTATCAAAATAATCACATTTCATAAATTGATTACTCTAGTCTTTACTTATTAATCTATAATTTGTGTATAGAATTTTAGTAATGAACAGCTTTTATGCGGAAGAAGTTGTGTGTAATATATACACATACATTTTGCACACATTCTGTAATATTTTACTTTTTTGTTAATTTTGTAACCAAATATTGTTTTTTTGAACAAAACTAATTCTCTAAATATATTTTTGTGAAAAGTCGCATTACTACCCCTATTTCTTTTCGAGAAATTTTATACAATATCGTCACATATTTATAAATAATGCCTTAAATAATAAATGCAATTTCATAACTTTGAATATGGAATCGATGGAGCAACACTTAATGAATATAATCGTTAAGTTTTAAGTTTAAATATTGATTTTTAACTAAGTTATTATATAAAATGTAAATGGGGTGTCATAATATTACCTTCACTTATAATATATCTACATTGAGAGAAAAAACCGGTTGCAATTACCATAATTTAACTGTAATGACCGTAATTTAATAATATAATATACTATAATAACTGTAATTTAGTCATTTTTTATGCTAATTATATATTTTTTTCGCAAAACTATATAATTATTATTACTAACATTATAAAGAAGTAACAATTGTAAAAATGGAATTCCTAATCATAACACTTTATCATGCAGTTATAGTTGTAATTATATGGAGAGAATTTATTTTTACCGCAAACTTTGCTGTGAATTTTTATATTTTTTATTTAGTGATAAATAGGTTGGAATGAGTGGAACAATTTGGCAATCTATTAAATATTATTGATAATGACGGGAATTTTTAAATGTACAAAAGTTATCTCCATATTGACCGTATTTGTATCAAACACCTTCTCTCAATGTAATATATTCTATATTTAGAATATTTTTAAAAACGCATTATTATTTTCAATGTAGAATGGTAGGGAACAGCTGGACAGTCCAGCCGCGTTGCCGACTCCTGAGCCAACACAACAAGCGGCATCGTGCCAGAGCGTCGCCGTCGCGACGCTGCAAGAGGAGATCACGGCGTTACGGGCAGAGATCACGAGCCTGCAGGCACAATTGATTCATTTTAAAAGTCAGAGCAGCAATCAGAGGCAAACGGTGAGCAGCGATTCACCGCGTCGAGAACTTCGAGTGAGCAGCAATCCTCAGAAATCGGTCTTTCATGGAAAACAGAGTTTGAAAAGAATTTAAAAAATTAATATTAATAAAGAGAAAAATTGAAATTGAAAGAGCAAGAACTGAGATTGAGAAACAAAGAGATGTTAATAAAATGCAATAATTCTCTCTTAATTTAACATTCCTCTTCTTGTTCTTTCACACCTCGCCTCTTCTCTTCGCAGACAAGGGGCAACACCAGCTCGCCGGAACCTTTGACAGCACCGTGCTCGCCGCTCTTGCCACCGCTACAGACACCTCCAACAAAGAGCATGACGAGGGAGGAACCGCCAGTCCTCAAGATGGCAGAGAGGGTGAGATTGAGGAGGACGGACGAGAGGCACATTACCGGTCCGGACATTACTAATCTTGGGGTACGAATTTTATTTGTAAATAATACTAAATGCATATATAAGAATATGTAAAGAATTGTAAAAATTTGTACATATATAGCTCCCTTCAAAAATGGCCACCGAAAAGCGATTTTACAGTTATCATTATGAATGAATTATGTAAATAAATATTCTATCAATCATTAAAAGTGAACTATAACTTAACTTTATAGTCATCAAAATCATCTGAACTTAAAAAAGATAATTTGAAAAAGAAATCGTCAAAAGGGTTGGTTTTTAACGATTGTAAAACAAAAATGATAAAAATAACATTTTATGAATGTTAAAAATATATTTTTATTGCCGATATTATATTTAATTGGTCGATTTTTTGTCAAGTTGAAAAATAGTTTTTCTCCTTTTCTGAGAAACTTAATTTTTTGAGTTGTATAATTTTTACAGTAAGAGAGTGATATGTACTTTTTTTTTAATTTTGCAGTAAACACATAGTTATATTCCAATTTTAGGTGTGCTCCACGATGGTAGCCGAACATCTCGTGTCGGATCTCCTAGAACAGTCAAACCTGCAGGAGCTGAACGGTTCTGAGAAGCAGTTCGAGGTCGAGACGGAACGATTGAACAGCAGACTCGAACATGCGCGGGCGAACAACGCGGTCCTCGCGCTCACATTGCACGAGAGCAAGGCACAATGCGATAGGTACGTTCCTCAAAGTGCACAAATCCCGAAAAGCTTTAAAAACGGTTAAAAATGTCAAATTAAATTAAAATCAAAATCGAATACATCAAGCGCATTTTATAATCTATGTGAAAAATAATGTGATAAATATAATGATGAAGGTATATCGACAGAAATTCAAGATTGATTCTTCGAAATGTAATGGTCTCAATAATTGATACAAACTTATGGCAATTACAGAGTTATTGAAGTATACATCTAGTATGATAGAGAGTCTGAATCGTTACATATAAATTAAAGAATGAAAAAGTTCACTGAAATAGTATACTTTATTTATGTGTGTAAAAAATCTAATGAACGAACTATTGTTCAAGTTAAAAGTTGTATATAAATTGAATTGGAAAAAGATCTTCAAATATACGACACAATCCTACTGAAATCCTACAATACGTGTAAAACGATCATTTTTGTCCTGCATTACAGATTGAGCTTATTAGTCGGCAAGTACGAATCGAATGCGACGGCGTTGCGACTCGCACTTTCGTTCAGTGATCGCGCGATTGAGGCCTACGACGTTCTAGTCGCTCTGCTGGAGAGCGAAATTGCGCTTTCCACCGAGAGAAACGGTGTGACAATCGATAATAGAAGGGCGGCTGAAAACGTTGCTTATCATGTGCTAAATAGACTCGAGAATGACTGTACTAACACGTTGGGTGCTCCATGGGAAGACAGCATGGTCTTGTCGGACGAGTAGGTATTTTACGTCGTGCGTAATGTGTGCAATTTTTATCACGAATGTCTTTCTGATAGATCGGAAATAACCTGGAACGTGGAGGACGAGCAACGACTCAGGAGGCACATAGGTAGACTGAAGGGAGAACGTACAATGGTCAGATCGACGGCGGTCGAACTGGAGAGCGTGCACGCAGAACCTCTGAACTCAAAGAACACCATCTCTCTAGCGGAGGCCAGGAAACTCGACTTGGAAACTGCTGTGCTCATGCAGGTCCATATCTAATTAAGAAAATTAAAAACTCAAGAGAACATTTTTTTTAAATAAAAAAGCACTACAGGATTCTCGCTCAAATAAAGTTCACAAGTAAAATAGACAAATGAGAATACAACTCATTGGAATTTGATGCATATAAGTTTCATAAAAGTATTATATTTTCTTCCCGACCGAGGTAATATTTTTCGCAACTAAATTATTTATAGATTTCTATGAATATGTATTAAAATTCTTTTAAGATGCCTAAAAATTCAGCATAAAAATTATCAAATTATTTGTGATATTTCTACGGTTTCGGTTTAGGCTGTTTCAAGATAAATAATTAGCGCTCAGCTTGAATTGAAAATTATATAAATTCGTAAAAAGAAATATGAATAGGCATGAAGAACGCTTTTATCCGTTTTTATCTTTATCGAATATAAATTTTTTCACTTATTGCGTGATTAATATATTTTAATTAAACATAACAAATCAAAAAGATTTAAAAAAAAAGTTCAATATCATAAAATTTATTTCTCAAGAATATATTTTTAGGAACTAATGGCCATGCGAGAAGACAAGGCTGAGTTACGTGCCAGGGTGTTCCTTCTAGAAAAGGAACGTGCTACGATAGAACTGAAGCTAAACGCTCGCGATACACAGATCGCAGCCCAACACGCTACCATACAGCACCTCCAGGGTCAGCTGAGCGACGCAGAGGCTATGCTTGCGATGGCAACAAACAAGGTATCACGTATAATTTTTACAAGTATGTAGGTCTCTTTCTGAAAATTAGCCTTACTAATTGAAAATATATTTAGGATCGAGGTTTAAGCGACAACGAAAGTGAGGGAATGGAGTCTGAATTGATCGAAGCATTAGGCAGAGAGGCGAGACTGAAGGAACGCCTGCAGGAATTGATCTCAACTCTGGACGAAGTCAACAAGAATTCCGAACTCAGACATCAACAGTCTGCCGAACTCGTCAACGATTTGAAAAGAGCTAACGGGTAATTATTGCCAGGATTGAGCGTGTAATTTAGAATACTTTTATTTGAAAAACAATATTTGTAAGACAACTGTATTTTATATTTCAGCGGAGCTGAAAAAACATTTTGTATTTTGTATTTCAATATCAATAATGAAAGATTGAAAGTATTTTGTATTTCAAATACTAAGATTGACAATTAATCTTATTATTTAAATTACAAAATATATAAAACTCTCAATCTTTCGAGTTTAAATACAAAATACATAATCCTTTCATGCGCTCTATTAAAATACAAAATACACTTGTATTGCAATAACTGTATTTTAAGTAAAAGTACTTCCAATGCCCAACCCTGATTATTGCAAAAAATTTGCATGCTGTACATATACAGAGTGTATCTCAAATAACGCCCCTGTAATCATATAGTGCTATTCCTAATAAAAAATTAAAAGTTCTCTACCATTTTGCAATTTTCGCAATAGTTAACCAGATATTAATTTCTAAAGATTGCCGAATAAATGGATAAAATCGATATATAAGATAATTTTAAGATATCTTCAGTGTTCTTTGAGAAACATTTTGAAGATGTTTCTTAAAGAACTCGCAAAGATATCTTAAAGTTGTCCTATACGTTGATTTTAGACATTTTGCTCATTGAGTAACTAAAAAAAAATATTGAAAAAATTGCAAAATGGTAGAGGACTTTTCAACTCAGCTTTTTATTAGGAATAGCGCTATATGATTAGTGGACGTTATTTCAGATACACCCTGTATACAAGTAGTAAATGGAATGTCATCATTTGGTTTATATATATAGAATTAATCTTTTACAACTGTGGAAAAACTATACTCAAATTCTAAAGCAATCTCTGTTTTAAATACAGAATGCAAGTGAACCTCCATCTTATGATGACTGATATAGAGAGAAATTCAAAATTTTTGCTTCAAGTTCAAGTGACCCATTAGTCAAGGATTAATTATCAGTCTGAAAATCAGATAAATAAATAATACAATATAACATTTCGTGCTCATCCTTGTAATAAAAATAAAACTTTCTTCCCTCTCTTCAGAGCGCTAGTCCAAACTCTGGAGAAATCCAAGAAGAAATATCAATCCAGATTGAAGAAGCTGGAGCAACAGATGCTGGGAATGGTAGAAAGACACGCTGTGCAGGTACAATCAAATATACAATGGTTGCGAAAAGTTTCTGGCCAATAAGTATTTTCATTGTATTGCATAGATAGAATCTTTACAAATAAAGATCTAATATATAAATACTTAATATATTATACTACTTAAAATCATGTTCTTAAGTTGATTATAACAACTTAAGAACTTTAATATACTATAAGAACTTTATTTAACTCATAAACTGAAAAATAGATTATCACAGAAAGTACTGTAAAATCATATGGCTAGAAATTTTTGGCAATTACTATGGATGAAGTTATTAATTAATCTTTCGTTCGTAAAAACAACAATAATTTATTACACTAGATACATTCTTCTGTAGTACTATTTCTTCTGCAGCTCTTTCCGCCTCTCCTTTAGCTTCTGTTCGACTAGATCCTCCAGGTCATCAAGCGGTTTGTAGATTTTGTGAACGTACTGCGAGCCAGCCAGCATTGTAACCAGTGCTGCTGCATAGAATACGATGTATCGTGACAGAGACGTCATTGTGTGATATCTCAATAGGAAGTTGGTGCGAAAATTTTCTTTTCAGGCCTGTTCAAGCCTTAGTCTTTGTTCCACCAATTCCTCTACCCTTCGACGTTTATACACTTTGTAGAAGTTAACCTCTCCAATTTGCCAGTGGATCATGGAGTATTCCAAAGCAGCCCCGAGGATGAAGAATAACGGCAGTAATCGGTACTCTCCGAGTGCTTTTCCTGGCAGTTTGTTATATAACCTCCACAATTTTAATCTATAAGATAACATCGAAACGTCTAAATTTCGTTCACCAAATTAAATACACGATCACTCCCTCTGTTAGCCGACTGCCGCCATATTGGATCGTTCCTGATGCGATTGCGGTATTAGGCATGCGCAATCAGCATACTAAAGATGCCTTTCCATGCTGACGTTCGACGCTCGCAACCCTCGCAACGTTCATAAAATTAGTTCATCCTTATTGTTTATTAAATGTTAAACAAGGCAAATTTCATAATGTTCGCGAGAATTATGAGAGCCAAATGGAACACACCCTGAATAAGCGATGTATCACACTTTCATTAGAAAAGTGACACAAATAAAAAATGTTTAATTCTTCAGAAGAAAATCACATATTTTAAAATACAACATATTATGCTAATATATATTAAGGGATAAATCTCAAAAAATCTTATATATGAATATAAGTTATTTAGATTTTTTATATTTTGCATAATAATAAACTAAAAAAATATATCGTTTTTTACTACGTGTTTTAAAATCATAGTTTACATTAACAAACAGATCGCATCGGACATATCAGATGTATATTGCAATTGCATTATTCCTTAAATTAATTTTCTTAAATTAATTTTCCCTTGCAGGTGAAAACATTGAAGCAACGAATAGCTCTATTGGAGGAAGAATCAATGGGTTACAAGGGAAGTATGGCATTGCAGTCTCAAAGTTCTGGCGCCAGCGAAACATCTTTATGACAATTGAGTGATTAAATGGCAAAAATGATGCAAGTTTAGTAACCTAATAATTACTTTTAACATCTATCCTGTCGCAAGAGGACATGATTGAATACAAAAATGGAGATCGAAGTCACACACATATTTTTTTACACCGAATAGTCGAAAGTAAAGGCGCTTAGCTATGCTCTTTGTAATTATATCATGATATATATTGCTGTTGTCCTAAATAAAATTAAAAAAAAAAGAAATTCAGCTAGGCCTACGCAATGTGTGCAATTGTATCGATACACGGAACAACGCAAACAGCCTATTATAAAACAGATCCTTCAGCACGTCGTAAATTACAAATAATTAATTAGTAGTGTATCGCGCTAACGATTACCGTCGTGTACATATGTATATTGTAAAAGCATAAACCACAAGTGTGATATGTGTAAACTATAATGAAATAAACTCTGCTTTATTATAGATATACCCCATAATACGTCCACGAATGCTCTTTGTGGATACAATATCCATTGTTAAAAATCTCTGTATAAATTATTTATTTTTATTTATATACATAAAAGTTTATATTACATCCTGATCTTCCTGTTGCTGCATTTGCAATGCCATCGTTTCTGTTGCATTGTTACCTGGCACATCAGGCCCTTCCATCGCTGGTACATCATTAATCTCCACAGCCTCTTTATTCAAAAATACCCTTTGCATCTCCTCCTCCAAGTGTACGCAAACCTGCTCGATCTCGTAGTTTTTCGACACCAAACTGACCCACTGTGCTTCGAGAGCTCTCAGTTTGTCGCCTCCTTGAGTCTGCATTGATTTCCTCTGCCAGTTGACCTCCTGAATCTTTTTCCTCAGCGTCTGCAGCTGCTTCTGAGCATGACCTAGCAGCTGAACTAGTACTTCCAAGTAGGATTTCCATGCTTCGCAACCATAATCCATCATCAATTCCAAATTACAGATTCTAAAATTATACAAAAGTATAGAAGACGATACAAAAATCTAAGAAGGCAGATGATATGTCAATAAGTCCTAAGTTGTATTTGATTTGGACGTTCACATGCTTCTTTTTCTTCTTAAACTCTTTCAACAGAGGAAGAGTTGACTCCGAAGTATAGGTGTAGTCTCTTATACAGAGAATTATTCGGCCAGTAACAATGATTGAAATATACAAAATTGGAAATACATATTTGTGTTTCTTTGTGTGTAATGTGTGACTGTTCGCAGTGTACTGTAAACTCAAGTTTGTATAGATATGCTACACCCAAAAAATTGTGCAGATCAATCCTCCTTGCCACATTCACTAAAAAAACTCTTGTTTCCTTTCAATTTCCGACTCTAAAAAAAGTGCTTAAACGACATTTATATCATTCTTTTTAACGTTTATAAGCACTCATTGATTTAGTAATGACATTGAAATTGTGATATTATATTTTTGTTTAAGCCAGTGACATCTAGAAAAACCTAGAAAAGCACTTATAAATATATGAGCGTTTACAGCATGTGAACATCCAAATCATTCTAAACCATTAACCAAATGTAGCTTTTGTTTACCTAGTAGCTTGATGCTCCAATTGCGCACTGCTGTTCTCCACACTCTCATTCCATGCAGTTAAATCGTTTAACTTACCAGACGGAGGCGGTGGTAATTCATAACGTTTCATACTAAGCACTTCCATCGGTAAGCGATTCTGCATCCTCTCAAATTCATGCTTCAATACCTCCGTCTCAAAAGCAGTTATGCATAAAGGTTGTAGGTGTTCCAAATAATTTTTCGTCGGTCTATAACGTCGTGTCTCTTCCTCCACCATCGCCAACGCCTAAGGAACAACATTAAACCCCAAATATTTTGAAATAAAATAAATTTACACGAGAATTTTTCTTAATAAAATTCCTTCAGAGCATAACCTATCAGATTACTATTATTCTGTTAGATTGTAAAAAAATGAATGTAATTCTTATTCACCGCTTCTCGTACGCCCGGCTCATCATATCCTTGGTCAATATACGGCAGTGCATCAACAACTACTTCACCTGCCATAATATATATTAAATAAAAATTATTCTCTGTTAACTTTCTGTAAACAAATTACAACTGTCAAGAGTTACGTCACAGAGTATAACCAGAGAGCATGATGCAAGTAAACATGTTCTTGCGCATGTTTATCTGCTGCAGCCAATCACAGCTTTCGACTTTTTTCCGCCATTTTTCGGCGGATTTTCAATACGCTATGACAGTAAAACTCTTAAAACGTTTAAATAATAAAATTATTAATTAATAAAATTATTTTATTTTAATTTTGAATTTTAATTTTATTTTTAATTTAATA